ATACAAGAAATGATTAACATAAAATTCAGAGTATTTGTTACCTTTGGAAAAGAGGGAGGGAGATGAGATTGAAGAGAATACAGAGGCTTCTGTGATTTTGAAATGATCTATTTGTTAACCAGCATGAGGACACGTGGGTGTTGTGTTTATTATTACTGCCACATATTTTCATAGACTTGAATTATATTATTTCACAATAGACATTGAAAAGTTTATTGTGAAATATTGCTAACATACAGCATGTACAGGGAATAGAGAATTATTTTTAAACTATATTCATATATGCATCACACAGATTTATCAATTCTTTTTTCCCCACAGCCAATGAATAAGATTTGTCGATTCTTTAAAAAAGAACAAAAAAATTTACCAATTCTTAACATACCACATTTATTTCAGATTGTTTTTAAAGAAATAAAACAATATATACCACTAAGGACCCTCACATGGTCTCCCTAATCCCATTCCTTTCCCTCCCTCATCAAAAGGAATCAATATCCTGAAATTGTGTCCTTTTCCCCATTTTACATTTTACTTACACAATCCTGCATCAAACAGTATATGTAGTGTTGCAGCTTTCAAAATTTAATGGGGCAAATTATACTCTAAATGTCATTTTACAACTAAATATGCCATTTTTAGACTGATTTATGTTTATGCATATGAATCCAGTTTATTCAAAGTGCTATGAAGTAGTGCCAGAGAGAGAGAGAGAGAGAGAGAGAGGTGGCAAAAGGGTAAATTTGGTAGATGGTGTAAAGGAGTTCTCTGTATTATCTTTTTGAACTTTTTCTAAGTTTGAAATTATTCCAAAATAACAACATCAGTACTGATTCACTATATTAGAATATGCACTTTGGAATAAAAATGGGAAAATATCCATTTATGATGATGACACAAATAATTAGCAATAAATTTAATTAAAAAACAAAACAACTCACCTAAACATTTGTATTTTTCCAGGAAGTCATGTATTTCTACTCTATTTTAAAATTTAGTTTAGAATTTCATGTAGCATTTTTTCTTTATACTTGCCAGCACCCTCTTTCCCCTCTTCATCTCCACCAGCTGAGAAATGTTGACAAGTGACGCC